CAAAAGTTAGTAGCCTATCTGTTCTTCCAGACTATGCTCTACCTCTATGCCAAATTTCATTGAGATCCATTCAGCCGTTTAGGCTACAAACTCTAACAAATATCCATCCATCCATCTAAACTTTCGCATATATAATATAAGTAAGATAATGTAATAATATAAAGAGGAAAGATTTGTATTCTTGTATGTATTGAAGAAAACTCAAAAACTACTGGGCCTACATCAAATTCTTATACCATTAGAAAACTTAAACATTACCACTGAGTAACATAGGTTATATTTATAAATCAAATATGGACAAAGTCGCAAGCAACAGCTAGTAACAGATAAAGGAGAAAGTGGGTGTTGTTATATCAGGTCAAGAGTTGCAAGAGATATACTGGAAAAATCTCCATTGACAAGAACAAACTTAGTTCATAAGTAAAAGATTTACCATTTTATTTCAGCATTCTCATGATAACTGAAGTTGGTAACAAAGTTTGTCCAATCCCATTTAGTTGAGAACTCGTTGGGCAACTTTGAAAGTAATGTATAACAGCAGTTCACAATTCTGTAATCACTGATCTTCTGCCTGCAGTTTAATAGTCTGCGTTTCTTCGGAGCAACATTGTATGAATCTTCATGATGTATGAATACCTCAAATGGTGGTACAGTATTGATTTGGAAGTATTTGAGTGTATATCTGTAACATAAAATTGCTTTTAAATATTGGTAACACTAAATTATGCAGATACTTAATGTTGGCAGTGACTCAGTCTTAAATTCTTCCAGACTATGTTCAATATCTATACCTAATGGACATTTATTCAGCCATTTAGGAGATACTTTTTACTTCTCAAAAACATCTATCCATCCTTTCAATCATTCAAATGTATGCAACAAATAGGACACTAATGAAATAATGAAAATTAAATGTTATTACTCTATACCATAAAGTTTCAAAGCTTTTATTTGTTATATGAACAAATTTAAAAAACAAACAATCACAGAACCCTTTTATCACCTAAAAATACATATTTATTATATAGAAATTTGATAAGATTAAAAAAACTTACTGAAGTATATCAGGATGGTCACACAATGTTGCAAGCACAATAGAATATTCCAAATGCTTGGTCTTCTCAGAATCATTGCATAAATCATAATTAGAAGTAGAAAATACAGGTTTCAATGGTATTTTAGCAGATACAAGAGCTAATAATGTATTGGACAGATGTTTTCTAAATAGTTTAGCATCTTCAAAGTTCAAAACGAATTCAGACAATATATTAATTGCCTCTGTTATGTCAATAGTTTTCTTTTGCAGGGCATCCTAGAAGGAAATGAAATCAATTAGTAACATATAAGTATCCTTTGTGTTTATTTCTAAAATTCTATGGACATCTTTATATTTACACTATTCCACTTGGATTTATCAATCTGAGGCCTTTGATATTTTTTAATTAATTTAAACATTTTCATATAAACATATTTTTGCATAATAAAACTGTAAAACAAACCTTAACATGTTGGCATGTTTTAACTAAATCAGAATTTGTAGTCTCCCCTTCTATTCTTCCAATCGCTATTTTTATATTGTCACACATATTGTGGCCCTACAAAAGCGGTTTTAATAGTTTCTTTTTACTTTTATTTTACTCAAAAATATCGTAAAATTGATTTCACCGGTACAGTCAACCATGCTTCGCTCTAATTTCGCTCGCACGTGTTGTGTTTTGTAATTTGACAGGTGTTATCATTGTGCAAACTTGCCAGCGCCCACTGACATGAACATAATAAATGTATGTACAGGACTCGCACTATATTTTCTATTTTATGCAATTTAGGTTATTATCGTACAAATAACTCAATCATCTGCTGAAACACTATTGGCATTTCGCATAAATTATTATTTTTGGACGTCTATATTACATCTGTGACCACAACATCCTGGAATGTCACTGTCAACTTTTTGTTAATAACAAATCTTCAAACTTTTTGGTTTTGGCGGTATTTTCTTTTTAGTTTCAGCAATTTTCAGCGTAGCCGTTGCTTTTAGAATTTAATAATTAAAAAATGGTTATTTGATTTAAAGAAAACAGTGTGAAGTAATAGATCAAAGTACTTTAACATGAACAATTCTCAAAATTCAGATATTTTCTGGGAAAATAGCAATATTGATGATAGCCCACCAGTCGTATCCTTTAAATGTATAATTATAATGATATAACATATTCTCCATTCTAATAATTTTATTAACATTAAATTAAACAGTTTAATGATACATCTTATAAAATGCTATTAATCAAAACTAATAAATTTCTTACCACCGAAAGTGTATATAAAGAACCAGCATTTGCTCAGGAATTTACTTTATGCCTTGAAGATTGTTGCGTTTGTGTTTTGCGGGTGAGTGCGAGAATTACATACATACAGCTTTGTATATACATCTTTGAAAATGGCTCAGTAATAATTGGTACATTTTTTGCCATGTTTAAAATCCAATGTTACATTGTTTGTTGCACTTATCTTATTGAATTTCAATTTTTATTAATAAATTTATACTAATAAATTTCAGTGTCTGGAAATAATAAGGTCTTCAGTGGAGAGTACTGAATGTCAGTCTGTGGAGTTACAAAACTATTTGGAAGATGCAGTACTATTATTACAAAAATTGTCATGTTTTCTGAAAACTCTCATTGAAACAGTTGCATTGTCATGCGGAAGTTTAAAAACATTTCCCACAACTACTGGTCAAATTATTTTAAATATTTTTACTCACTGCAAAGACAGGTAACTAATGTTTACTTTATTTGATCATTGTTTTGTAATAGTATTAGTCGATTTTTATTAATTTACTAATAGTTCTTTTAACTATTCCAACTAAGCTCTAGAATTGTGCTAGGATATGGTTCATGACATTAGTTGAATGACGGGATTCAAGCCCTCAACTACAAGTTCAGTAGTCCATACCCCAAACCGTTAGGCTATTGGCACTAAAACATTATTAATGTAAAAGTTTAGATGGGTGGCTGTTAGAGCTTGTAGCCTAAACTGCTGAACAGATCTCAATGAAAATTTGCATAGATGCAGATCAGTCTTAAATATCACACTATGCATTTTTTTTTAATTCCCATGGTGAGAGTAGCTGGCGACAGTTTAGTATTTATATTAAAAAAAATGAATCATAACTATGAATGAATCTTAATTTTTATTTCAGCGAATACTTGTATGGAAACCATTTAAAGATTGTTGAGAAAGAATTAAGAGATTTATTTCGTACTTGTCATGAACTACAACAAATGTATTTGTTGATATTAGAGAAACATTTTATTTTCGACATGACGGAAGATGAACAACAATATATTCTTCTCAAAGGTACCAATCAGTTTCATACTCAATAGTTACAGAATGTGTTGCAAAATATAAGAGCCTTTCATGCAAAAAGGCAACAGACTTAATTTTTTTTTAATTTGTCTTACATTTCAATCCATTCTCAAGTGATAAAAAAAAACAATATAAATAATTGCTAGAACTAAATTAAGGACATTACTAACCTGGCTTTATAACGGCAAATGAAGGGAGTGACACATTTTATGTTTACTATGGGGCTATTTGTCATTTTTAAATGTGAAAAATCTACATAAAACCCTGCTTAGCATCTAGTTTTTGGAAAAGAGTTTCTTAATGTACTCTTAATTTCTTTATACTTGTTTAACTTGATTGACTTTAAATAGATTAATGATTTGGTAAAGTAATTGAGTTTTATAAACATTTTCAACAGCTCTTGATATTAATTTGAAAATAAGTGAGGTGGTCCAGGCTTTAGATGTGAAGACGATGGCGGAGCAGTTGAAAGCTTATACTGGAATATGTAACAAATATTCTGATAGTTTAATGGATAAAGATATTTACAATCATTGTACTGAACTTTTATGTGGTTTGATTGTAACTAACTTGAAAACGGCTTTGGAGGTTTGTATATAATTATTTTTTTATTAGTTTTAATGTTTTATTATCGCTTCTTTTTTCAATTATTACAGATCAATCAAGAGGAAAAGATAGTTGTACGTTCTTTGAAAATTGCCAGTTTCCTAATAAAAATATTATTGAAAGTAAGCAACATCTTCAAGCATGGAGTTAAAAATGATTATGATATTGTTCTGCAGACTTTGATTTATATTTATACGTAAGTATATACAATCTATATCTATCTATATTAATATATTGAATTAGTAAAGACACTTTGTTATATATGTGGACGATAATGGAATATTTTTGGATTTTCTTTTGAATAAAAAGCCCTACAATTAAGACATGCTAATTAGATAAAAATAAAACAGTTATCATCATACTTCATACTAATATATTATAAATGCGAAAGTTTAGATGGATGGATGTTTGTTAGAGTTTGTAGCCTAAACTACTGAATGGATCTCTGAAATTTGGCGTATATGTAGAGGATAGTCTGGAAGAACACATAGGCTATTTACTTTTCTTTTTTTTATTCCACGCGAACAGAGTCGCGCGCGAAAACTAGTGTTTTCATAATTTTTATTTCATGTACATTTTTCAGATGTGATGATACAATTCTAAGTGAAGTATTAAACAAGTCATCACAGTTTATAAGCCAAGTTAATACACTTATTTTAAAAACAACACAAGAATTATTGTCGCAACTACTTCTTGATAGAAGATTCTTAGATGTAAGTTGTAACTTAATTTTTACTACCAGATGGAGTTATTATGTTCTGAATGTATGGAGGGACTACTGCAGATTTACTATAAGAAAGCTACACTAAGTATTACTCTCTAATTAACAACTCTGAGATATCCTTTATCGGCCTATTTACTTCATTTTTAATTTAAGATAGGAAACCAATTTACATTAAAAGATTTTTTAAACAACCATTATGTGACTCTGAGTGTGATAGTTTACTATCTTTTTCAGTAACATTAGCTACTAAAATATATTTGTATATTTTTCTAGTGTTTACTGCAAAGTGATATAAGAAAACTGAGTGAAGATAAACAATATGGGTTAATATTACTTTTAATAGTAATAATAAAATGTAGTTTACAAAATATAGATTTAATTGTGCAAAAAAACAAGCTAATTGCTTATATATTCAACATTATACCTTATAGTAAGTATTATCTTGAAAGTCATTTTATGATGAATTTAATTATTTAAGACTAGCTGTTGCTAGCGACTTCACTGTGAAATTTAAATATAATAAAATATATAGCATATTTTGCAGATATATTACCTTTCTAACATTGAAAATTTTTTTTAAATCAACCAAGTAGTTTTTGAGTTATTTCAATACATACAAAAATACAAATCTTTCCTCTTTATAACAGTACTAGCTATCTCCTGCGACTCCGTCCGCGTGGAATTAAAAAAACACTAAGTAGCCTATGTGTTCTTCCAGACCATACTCTACATTTATGCCAAATTTCATCGATATCCGTTCAGCTGTTTAGGATACAACCTCTAACAAACATCCATTCATCTTAATAAAACTTTCGCATTTATAATATTAGTAAGATATTTATTTCATATTATAGGTCAAGTATGGCTTAATTCAGGGTTGATGTTTAAAGATGAGCCACAAAGCTTGGAAGAAAATTTATTGGTACATTTAGTTGGTCTGTCAATGTGTTTGTCGAGTGAAGAGTTTGAAATACTAGAGCTTAAACTATATGATGCTGTGTTGGGAGATAATACTTCAAAGGCTGTGTTTGTGACTCGTTATTGGAGCTTATTGGCAAGGTTAGTATTAATAATTGTTATTATTCAGTAATTTTTTTTTAATGTTTATTGGGTATTTTTATTTCAAATCTGTTTTATGAACATGTAATGCCATTTATATAATGTGATAATTATTTGTTTTCATGTGTTTAGTTGAATTTAAAAATGAAATAACTTTTTCAGGCTAACAGATTCACAGTATACTGTACCGACTGTGACATCTCTATGTAAAATGTATGAAAACTTGGAGTTAAATGCTTCGTTTAAAAATTCACCCCAACAAATTCAATTGGGACAAACAATAAGAAGACTTTTTGAATGTTTACCGAACCATTATAAAGTGTTGATTAAAAAGCAGTTTGAAATCCAAGAGAAATATTATAGTCTATGGAGTTTTATTAAGATTAAAAATTTACCAGAAAATATACGTGTTGCAACAGAAGAGAATTTGCTTGAAAAATTAATGGTTGAATTGAATAAACTTACGAACTCTGAACATTATGTGGAAAAGGATATTCGGCAATTGGTAAGTTTTTTTATATTAGGATACTTGTCAAAGAAACCGGTTTTTTCAGTAAAATATTTTGAAAAATGATCATTAAATATTTTTGAATTGCATTATTAATTTTTGTTACAGATAAATATAATGAAAGTTGCTTCGACATGCACTTTTACAGAATTAAATTCTAATTTTATAGATAGTGTTGTAAAAGCTTGGGTGAAAGTGTGTCCTAAAAATTTATTCTCTTTGCCCTTAAATATAGATAAAGGTGTATATTGGTACTATTCATATATAGAAGCATTAGTTTTATTAACCAATGAAATTATAGAACAATTTGTTTATTTCGAAAATGTACTGACGGTAATGGTATTGATTTTTTAATATTTTTTTTATTCAATCTTGATTTATTTTTCATAATAATTCTCTTTCAGGTTTTTAATATTCTTTCCAAATTAATATTAACAGGAAATAATGAATTGATATTGCTTTTGATACCTTTATATTGCAAAATATCACTTTATTTTTTCGCTGATGAACCAAATGTTTCAATAGACCAAAATACCAATGAAACATTCAAATTTTTACTACTAAAAACGGAACCTTTAGTACAACAGTACACGATTATGGAATTATTAAAATATAAAGAGGAGAAAAAATCTAAAAATGTAATTGGAAAAATTATTGATACATCTCCGGAATTGCAAAAAATATGGCAGAAGAGCTTTAATAAAAATATAAATGAACGAAACAAACAATGGATGTTATTAGCTGATGTAAAATATACACACAAATGTATGGAGAATTTTATTCTAGAAGATTCAGATAAAATTAAATTGAAGAGTAATTTCGAGATGGATATTGATAATGTATTTGTTTGTGAAATAGAAGAACCGGCAAGTAAAAAAATAAAATTAGAAGATGAACAAAACAGAGACATCGTTAAAAGACTTGAAAACGATTCCTTGTTACTGTCTAGTACTAATCACATATCTGATGAATGTAAAAAGAGAATTACAATTGTTTGTGATAGATTGAAAAATATAATTTCATAGAACAGTTTAATTTTATTCAATGTTTACCCGACTCATAAGTATATTTATTAAAAGGATTTCGTAACACTCGGAGATAGTCGTATTTTTTGAGTTTATTTTTAAAAGACATTCAAAGAAATAAAACAAAAAAAAATATTTTTCACATTTAAATTTATTGTTGTGTTAAAAAAATTTTACAAGTAAGTGAAATATAATAATCATAACCATATATTAGGTCGATGTTACACTATCAGTAAGATATGCGACGCGCCCACAGTGTAACATCGGCCTTCGGGAAACTTAAAATACATTTAATTGATACTCGGAGGTAATAAGACCTTAGCTCACGTTAAAGTATCAACTACCTTCAGTCGCACTCCATATTCCAATTCATTTTCTAAACGCTGACAATTCAATACTTCTATGGCTGTACATCAATGAAAACCACGCACATGTCATGTCAAAGTAACACAGCAACAATTACTAAATAACATCTACTTTATATCTAACATTCATTCTTAGCTTATCTCTACGCATCCGATCGATCCTCGTAATTATTGTGATGGCGACATTGTATACGTAAAAATACTTTTAAAAAATATTGGCTAACTAATTAAAATACGAATAAAATCATTAAATTATTGCCATAGGAGACAAATATAGCGAAACCTAGCTATTGCGATCAAGCATCAAGCTTCGAAGCATTTATACAGCTATATAACTTAGCAAATACGTCACTAAATAAATTAATTAAAAACAATACAAGGGGGAGTAAATACTTTTGGGATTCTTTAAATATTTTTCTCAATAATATCAAGTATTCTTTCGCTTTATAATACTTTGTTGACGTTTTATCAGATGCCTTTGAGTACAATTAACACATTTCCTAAATCGAAATTCTATACAAAAAGTGCTCTATACACAGTGTAATAAAAAACTGGCGACAAGTCCATGCCTGGATACTTTAAATAGTTCATTTGAATTACACATGAAAAATTTCAAAAAATCACACATTTCAGTAAATACAATTAATAAATATAATAAATAGTTAATTTAGTTTTAGAGCAAAAATATTTTCATTTAGATAAGCATCCTGCATGGTCAAGTCCCGGGTGAAAGTGAATTTGTGACGTTAATTTAAGAGGCACCTCAAAGTCGATATAAAAAACGTGTTTTGTGCGAATCGGTACAATCTTAAAATATATAATTTCCGTCACATTTATATCCAATCCTAAACTACTGCGATGTACATTGGAATGGTTGAGAACACTTTGTAGTTTGTAGTACATTACAATGACATTCAAAATAAAAACTCGTATTCGATACTATTTTATATACTATTTACAATTAGTGCAATAAAATAATTTGTAAACAAACTGTCCGTATTCATATTTATGGTCAAAAATTCGTAACTCTCTCATATACAACTATTTCTCTTAAATGTTCTGAGGATTTGAAAGATTCTTTAATCAGTAACACTGCATCAATAAACTAAGCACCGGGTATTTCAACAATATTGCACTTATACATATAATGTTCCAACTGTGAATATAATTGTTAATTTTTTAAACAATCTTAACATAAACGCTATGTTAATTCTACAATGTTAATACAAAACCTACTCATTGAAAAATACTTATTTACTTAGGCCAATAATCTTCCTAGGGTTTGAAGAAAGCTAAAATACATATTGATTTAATTTTATTTTGTGGCAACGATAAAAATGCTTAAACTTAATTGTCTTGGCACAAATGAAATATCATTTCGAACTTGTTTTTACGATAAATAAACACAATAAAACTCTAAATATTGAGCATTACGCAAATTTAAAACGATCTAAAATAGGAAACTCGATTTGTGAGAAATAGAAAATATTCATGGGTCGCTTAAATCAATATAATCACTTAATACATAAATAGCGTTTAGAAAAGCTAATTGCGTTTAAATTACATAAATAAAATCCTAAATTCTAAATACCCTCAGAACAGTTAATATGTATATAAAAGTTCAGTTCTTTATTAGGATTATTTGGCATCTATCACCAATAATAGACTACAATAAAAATGGTATACATAGGTGAGAATACCTATTGGATATGCGCCCTTATACATCTTTACAAGTCGTGTTCACGACAAATGATCCCTGCCGAACGAAAATATCCTCCGAAACACGCACAAAGTCGCCACACGAAGCCGCAAACGATACGAACACTCCCACACCGCGCCAGACCTCGTACACGAACAACTCCCCCCCTCCCCCTAACCTCCTCCCATGCATAGCGCAATATATTCGACAAAATGCAAATTGCGTCTTATGACAAAAATAAATTCTAGTTCCGTTTTGCTATAAAATAGACCATAAATGATTTTAATGTAAGCCAAGGATCCCGATTCCCGCAGAATCTCCAGAGCGAATACGATATATTTAAAATGTTTTTGGTGTTTATGGATTTCCTTTTTCATGATTTATGGAGATTATGATGAATTATAGATACAAATATGATTATAGAGAGAATCGAACCTTTCATAAATTTAGCTACAAGAACCTTTGAATCCACCGTAAAGGTCTTTTTATTGAGTTGAAACTACATCATCACCTTGCCCTCGTCCCTTCATCATCTGCCACGGGATGTATTACTATTTATTCAAATATTGGTCAATAATTAATTTATTAAATTAATCTGAAATGAGTTTTACTTTATTCCAAAAAAAATATCGTTCAAAAAAAAATAGAAAAAGGTGCGTTGCGCATTGAAAAGCGTTCTCATTTCATTTCAAAGACTAAACCAGCAAAGTCCGTTGTCTTGAATTATTTGAAAAAATAATGCAATAACCTCAGGACTTTACATTTTGATAAAACTCGAGGTTCTTAAAGTATTCTAATAAGACCTATCGCGGACTCTTGTTTTTTTTATTTTTGATATCAATTTCAATGTTTTTCATAATAGACTTTACATGGTACAAATTTAGTAGCTTTCGTATCACTTTTATTACCAGTATTATAAAACTTCATGTTACAATTTTATTTATTCTTTACAATTACATTGGATACTTTTACTTTCAGTTGATAACAAATCGATTTGAAAGTAATGTGTACATAAAGGGCGTTTTTTTTTTATTACACTTAAAAATTCGATTTGAAAAAGTGAATATCTATTACGAATCATTAGTTTTAAATGAAATTGAGATTTATATAGAATTGCAATTTTTTCTCCGTCGATAGTTCATCGTATTATTGGTACAGTACGCAGTCGGTAGTTGCGGGGCGCGGTGTGGCGATATGTCGCCTCACAAATCCTGTTCGGGATGCTCGATGTCAATAGCGAGTGAGAGCAAAGAAAAATTACAATAAATGATCGCTTATAAATTAACAATAATACATGCACAAGAAATATCGATATTTTTCTCATCACTATCGATTAACATCGACCATCCCTACCGTATGTACGTCAAAAAGCAAAATAGTCTGTTACCAAAGATATTTAAGAAACATATAGACTAGACATAGTGAACATTTTTTCAAAGGTTTAAACTATGTCAAAAAAATTACAAAAATACAAGATCCATCGTTTGTTATAAAATAAAGAAAATAGTCACAATATAAAATACAAACATTTAAATCTGATTTAGCGACACTTTTTGGCAATTATTTTAATTGATTTGAGGATCAATTAAAATTATGTGAAAAATGTCTCAAGTGAACTGTCAACTATGCTCCCTCTATATATTGTTTGAATATCTCTGGTTACTACTATTTTGCGGGAATCCTGTACATGTGGGCGTGGGGCGGGTGTGAGGCGTGTCCGC